GCTGAAACAGGTAGACTAGTGCATCCTAAATTTTTTAAACATTTTTTATGACATTCTAGTCATTTTGGCCTTTAGAAAAACATTTTTTGAGGTTGTCACCTCCTATTAAATGTCATTTTGGAAAATCAAACCGCTCATTTTTACTCAGTACTTTTAATACTTAAGTACATTTTATGTCAGAAATTTACTTTTATATCGAACTACAAAATATATTAGATACTAGGACTTTTACTCAGGTAATATACTTAGAGGAGGCTTGAACTTTTACCAAAGTAATTTTATGGTAATATACTAGTACTTTTACTGAAGTATCACTTTGAAGTACCTTTATACAACCCTGCTAATTACCAATAAATCTGACCAATCAGTTGTACCAAGCTCCGCCCACACCTAAGAACCTCTCATTTCATGGCTGCAGAGAGGTTTTTGTTGAAGCTGTCTAGAAGAATAAAGCTTGGCTCTCGTTACAGAGAGGAGTCCGGCGCTGACCTCCCTGCTGCCTCGCAGAAACGACGGGCAGAGCCACCATCGACGCGCTCGCCGCCCGCAGCCTGACAGCCTGGACTCTGCGGACTCCTCCTTCTACTCCTCTTCATCGCACTTCCACCCATCGCCGTCCTCCTCCTCCTCCCAGCGGTTCCGGTTCCACTCCAAAGCCCCGGGCCAGCCTCAGCCTCAGCCTCAGGCCCTGAACGCACCCCGGTCCTCCCGAGCCGCCGGCCTCGACAGCAGCCCCACGGCAGAGCAGGAGGGCACCTCCGGAGAAAGGCCCCAGTTTACGAGCCGCGGCACATACAACCCAGAGAAAGGCAAGCAGAAGCTGAAAGGGGCGAGACATTCAGCAGCCAAGCACACGAGAGAGGGCGAGAGCCACGCCGGGGACCCCCCTGACATCCCCCAGCACCTGGTACTGTACGGCAACAATGAATTCATGGTATGAAGGACACCAGGACCACGAAGCGCTCGCTGCTCAGCTCCCAGGCAAACATGTTCAGTCTCAGCAGGTCTTTGAATCAGTCATGCTTCGCCTTCCCTCGTTGACTCCTGCAGAAGAAGCGCCGTGCCCGGTGAATCGGGAAAGCCCCTCYGTCTCCTCCCACGCTTTCACAGCTCCTCCCTCAGCGCAGCGAGGAGTCGCACGGGACAGCAGGACGGAGAAAAAGCAGCGCTGGAACAAGGGGAGGACCCCTCAGCATCAGGGAACGTTACCGAGTCGGAAAGCTGAGAAGAAACGTCGTCCGGTGATGTTCCGGTGGACTTTAAGCTCAGAGTTATTATTCGCTGCTTTATTAGTTTACAGTTGATAACAAACAGTGTGAGCAGTTGATGTTCTGTTATTTGCAAGATTATGTTTCCTTATTTAATAAATTTATTATCACAGAAATGCTTTATAATAATATACAATTATAAATACTGTACAAAGCTGGAACACCAGCCTCTGCTGGGTAGTTGAAGTTAAATATTTCTCTTTTTTTTTTTTTGCTATCCTAGATTAGGCTGTTCGCATTTGCGCAGTGAATGCTACGTGTGTGTGTGTGTGTGTGTGTGTGCGTGTGCTGATGTGCTGGGCGCACACGTGTGAAAGACAAAACCATTTCATGTGTTTTAAGTTTCTGCTGCTTCTCTCCCTGTTTGAGGAGAACACCGCCATCAAAGGGACCAAGTCAGCTGGTGTGTGTGTGTGTGTGTGTGTGTGTGTGTGTGTGTGTGTGTGTGTGTGTGTGTGTGCGCTCCAGCCCAGCTCTTTGAGAATGTCACATGGTCAAAGACGTGTCTGCATCCTTCTGCTTCACAGCCATACGACACTTAAAGCAGTTCATGTGTACAGAGCGTTGAACAAACGTCATCCTGTTGTTGAAATCTACCGTTGCCTACCCACTCCCTCCTGTCTCTGAACTGTTTGCTCAACAGCAACCAAGATACCACATAAAATCATTTTGTCTCATCGTTATTCATGAGTCTGATTATTTTTKTGTTAAATTAAATGAATGTTGCTGCTTTTCAACAGTTGTGCTAATCACGAAGCTAACCTTTTGTTTAGCACATTAGCATTTTAGCTAATTTTAAAAACGGTTAGCGGATCAATTAGCTTCTGCTAAAATTTTGCTCTGCTGATGAAAACAAAAACAAATATCCCCTCACACATGCAGTGCTGCACTATGCATCATGTGCCTTGTGTGTATCTAGCTTTTTGTGTGTCTGCTTTCAGCAGACGTGTTGGTTGTGTGTTTTAATGTAACACCACTTTGTACAATTTGTCTACTTGATACGACTGCTTGTGGTTTTAACTGTTTGTTGGATGTAGAAATGTTTTTGCTTTTAGCCAAGATTCTGATGTTTCTGTGGACGCCAGACGTCTGGACCTTGAGTTATCAGTTAGCGTAGGAGTCTGCTCTTTTTCTTRCATGTTTAGCATTTGGAAAGCTATATTTTTAGCGTATTGGTGTGATTAGCAAAGCTACCACTGCTTTTCAAGACAACCATGAAAAAATAAATTATGTAAAAGACGAAATCTAAATTACAAAAACAAACATCTTTTAAAGAGAAATTGTTATGCAGGCAGCGCTCCCTCATTTTGGTCGTCAGATTTTCCTCACTGATCAAAAATTATAATTCATTATTATTGAAAAAACTTAATGTCAAAGTGGTCTTTGAGGACTGCTATCCTGCATGTTTAAGACATGTTCCTGCTCCAATACACCTGATTTGCATGAATGGGTAATTAACAGGCTTCTGCACAAGTTGAAGAGTTAATTCAGTCACTGAATCAGGTGGGTTGGATCAGAGAAACCTCTAAAAAACATGCAGGATAGCGGGCCTAATATAGGACCAGAGTTTTACACCCCCATGTTGCAACCTTTGATAACTTTTATATTTAAAAATGTTCGTTCGATAAGCTCTTGTCTTTTGCTGTTGCATAGACTAAAATATAAATGTTAAAACCGATTGCCTAAAAGAAYGGTCCAAAACCTTTTCAGCAGCTAACCCACAAAAAAATAAATAGGAGGGTCTGAAGCTTGTAACGTGAAATGATACTGTTTTGTTTTTTAAAGAAGGATGAGCAATATTTGTATATCCATTCATTATCTTCTTATCAGGGTCACAGTGTGAGGGGCGGGGTACACCCTGAACAGGTTACAAATACAATATTTCTATTTTAATTTCTCAGTTTTCATCATGTAGCCTGCACGATATTCAGTCTGCATGATTCAAGCAGTATTTATTGTGATAAACCCACATTTACTTTACTTCTGTCATCTAAACAAGGTGTGGACGCCAAGCACCATACGAGTGTTGGATTGGCCAAATATACTGTTGTGACCACAATTGTTGAGAATGGCAGAATTTTATTGTCACAAAGTTTGTTGATGTAGTCTTTATGATGGGAATTTGCATATAGTCCAAAAATATGCTCTTATGTATATAAGTATATCTGGAAAAAGAAAATCTAAAAACACTGGCAGCAAACTTGTGATAATATCTGTCATTTTCAGCAGGTATTCTTTCATTCTTAATGTTTGTCATGTATTACCATTGTTTACCTGTTCATTTACTTCTGCTTCTGAAGGTAAACAGGTGGTTGTTGGCAGCTGTTTTCAAACTTTAAATTTAAGGACACATTGATATGATAAAATAACTGTTTTTTTTTTTTTTTTTTTAGCTCAGACAAGGAGGTTATGTTTTTGGTAGCGTTGGTTTGTCTGTTCATCTGTGCAAAAGATTACTCAAAAAGTTATGAATGAATTTTCATGGAGTAGTTTCAGGCGTGGGGTTGTCTCAAAGAACTGATTCAATGTTGGTGTTGATCTCTCCTTGATCTGACACTGAAGAACAGAGCCAGAGGCTGCTTTAGTGATGATGTCCAGCTGTGACAGCCAATCACAGCTCAGCGGCTGCACGCTCTTGTTTTCATAACCTGGGGATTTTACATTGAGCGTTCTCCAAATACTTCTACTTTGTTTGTTAGATTTGTTTGGACAGGTCTTCATGTCTTTGGGGTGAGTARCTTTAACACCATTTTGTAGGTACGAAAGCGTGTAGCGACCGGGTCACAGGTCATTCTCTACAAACACTGAGGTTGGTAAAGACGATAAAGATGGTTGTATTGTTTGTAACTTACAGGGCTTTTCCTCTGTTTTGCAGATATATGAACATAAAAGGACAACATCTCTGAGCCTGTAGGATGTAAAAAGAAAACAGATTAAATAACCATCTCCCAACCTGCTTAGCTGCTAGAAATAAGTTCCCCACCTCTACCTGTCCTCATTTCCCTGCTCCTCTGTCCTGCAGCTTCTGTTATCTCTGCCCCCTGTTCTGGATTACCCCTCTGGCCAAATATGACCCAGATCTTTTCAGTATGTGGTAAATGTATAACCTTGTGTAGCTTTATCAAAAATTATGTTAAGAATAACGTGGTCACAACATTTCACCTCATCCATCAATTCACAAAAAGTATCGGGTAAATGGAAAAACACAGTTGTATAGTGATGTGGGTTATAGCAAATAACCTCTAACCCAGAGGTGCCCAAAGTGGGGCCAAGCCATTTGATTTGGCCCACCAGCAGTTGTCCTGGTTCTTAGATTGAGACATTTAGATTAGATTTAAGCCCATATCTAGATTTGCACACCTTATAAGAATACATATACTACAATTTTAAATGTAAAAAGTCCCATGAGCTTTTGCTGCTTGGGGATACATTGAATTTTCTCCATGTCCATGGGCTGAAAAGAAAAAAAATGTGGGCAACGACACTGGCTGCTTGCTTAATCATAGAAAATAAAACATCTTTGCTTTGCATTTCATATATTATTGCATTTGGCCCGTGGCCCTCAGATTGATTTGAATTTTGGCCCTCTCAGGGAAAATGTTTGGGCACCCCTGCTCTAACCCCTACTTACAACTGTTTTCACAGAAAGCTATGATCTGGTCTATAATCAACCTTTAGTGTCAGTASGCTAAAATTAATGTTTGAACTGAAAATACAGCAATGATGCACGTTAATAGAAATACCTGCGTAGCATAACCCATGTGAGGTTTTATTTTATTTTTTAACCTGATCAGTAGTTTAATTTAACATTTTCCAGTACACCTGAAGGCACCACGTGTCCTCAGACTGCAGGTTAGAAAAGCAGCTTGTGTTGCCTTCACGGACCCCCTACAGTCCAGGACAAACAGCAGACTGTCATGTGAAATGCTCACGCTTGGGACCAATTTACAGTTTTATTTAAGAAGTRAAAGTGGGGCTGACAGAAGAAATGACTCCTCGAGAGACAAACCTCTGATGACGCTGCCTACCTGTGGTGAGACTGCGCATGCGCAGAGGCCCGGTGTCACGCAGGCAGGCAGGCAGGCACCAGCAGCAGCAGCACCGCGGAGGCTGAGGAGACGACGGGAGAGCTGTCGGTGTTTATTTCACATTTAAAACAATAATAATAACTTTCCTCCAACATGTCGGGACTCGACAGCAACCCGTTCGCAGACCCAGTGGACGTGAACCCGTTCCAGGTGAGTGTCGTGTCGGTGAGTCGACGGTGGAAAGTGAAGACTGAAAGAGATACGCTGCTAAGAAAAAAAGAAAAACCTGTTTGGTTGGTTATTGGGTTCGGCCTGTGTGTTTCCTGTCCTACATTTGTCACGTATATAATATATAACACATATTAGCTCTTACGTAGGCTGAATTTTACTGGGAATATTAGTTTTTATCATTTATTCTCACCTGGGCAGGTGAGCAGAACGCAACAGGTGCTTCCAGCTTGTCAGCCATCATCTGTTCCTCATTCCATTTTTTTTTTTTTTTTTTTTTTTCAGTTTGCACTCCTCACCTGACTGGTCTTCATTTGTATAATTCTTGTAGTTTTTTTTTTCTTTTTTTACAAATAATAAAACTAATAATTTAGCTTCAGCTGGCACTAAAGTATAGTTCTGTTATTATGATGTCATTCAAATTCTCCCKTTTTTTGACTGAGAGGTGGCTGCACATTTCCTGAGTCTATTTCTTTACACAAGTTAATTCATTGATGTTTTCCAGGATGCTTCAGTCACTCAGGCCACCAGCAGGGTCTCTGACAACCTTGGAGAGTACAACCCATTCTCTGCAACTGAGATGGTGATCTTTTATATTTGATGCACTGACATAAGAAGGTTTCCTTTTTATTTATGTAGTTATTTATATAAAGAGGGTCTGCTGGTTTTGTCATCCTCACAGGGAACCTATTCTGGAAAGACCATCCCAGTCTCTGCTGCCTCCTCCCAACCCGCTGTGCTGCAGGCTTCTGTGGAGCAAACTCCAAAAGTAGGTACAGGAGGAAAACGAGACATAATTAAARCAGATCCCGTCTTTATTTTTCAGTAACACGTAGGCTGCTTTCACACTGCAGGAACATTCGCCCCATTTCAGATGTTTTCATGATGGTCTGAATGTGAAAAATCCTTTTTTTTTTTTATCTGACTCAGGTCTTTTCAGTATGTAGTACTAAATCTGATCCATATCGGATGTTTTTCAAAGTGACCTCAGTCTGAATGCTCATGTCACATTTCATCCAACTTTTTACATCAGTGAGGAAGGGATATATGAATCAGTCCAAGTATTTAGAAAATGGATACCAACCTTGTGCAGTTGAAATCTTAGACCTCCACATCTTCACTAGGGGTGTAACAATACTTTGATCCACTCTGATATATCGATTAAATGATTTATATCAAAGTAAAACAAAACCATTGATCCATATCGTCATCATATGCCTGCTGTGGATCAATATCATATGTACACTCCTGATCAAAATCTTAAGACCAGTCAAAAAAGTGCAAGAATTTGCATTTTGCTCTATTGGATCTTAAGAAGGTTCTAAGTAGAGCTTCACAATGTTAAAAGAAGAACTCAGTGCAAGAGACAAGAACTTTTGAGCAGGGAATTGTCTGAAAACTGCATTTACACTCAAACGTGATTTTTTTTCAGCTGATCAAAAGTTTAAGACCATAGCTCAAAAAAAAAAAAACCGAAAACCCCCCAAAACAGAAATCAAAGTGTCAAAAAAAGGACTCAGTAAAGAGTAGCTCCACTATTCTTGTTGATGACTTCAAACAATGGTTTAGGCATGCTTGATGCCAGTGTTTCCRGGAGGCTAGTGGGAGCGTTGCTCCAAGTGTTGAAGATGGCTTCACCACTGTCTGGAACTGATGTTCATTTTTGTAAACTTCCCTTGTCATCCATCCCCAAATGTTCTCAGTTGGGTTTAGATCCGGGGAACATGCAGGATGGTCCAAAAGAGTGATGTTATTCTCTTGGAAGAACTCCTTTGTC